AATCGATAATCGATATATAACCTGTTGTCAGTTAACTACACTGATTTTGATGAAATTTGGGCAAGACACAGGGATCATAATAAAAAGCGCTGCTTTTTTCTCTGGTCCAGGGAAATAACAAATAATATTCAGGTTTTTATACGTTTTTACCTTTCCGATAATAGATGTGCATAGTAGCACTGGTGCTTTCAAGAGGGGGATAAGGGGGGTAATAACTAAATCTCCAGTGGCTGTCTGTACCGCTTTGCTGTCAACTTTAAGCTGAGCTGAACCGTAACTTCAATGTTTTTGTTGCACCAGATGCACTTGAAACTTGGGTGGACGTGGAACAGACAGTCGACGAATTTCCCTGCTTAAGGTGGATTTTCTAGCCTACAATGTCAATTTGCCAGTTCTTCTAAGCTCTTCATTAAGTTCTTCTCATACTGATAAGATTTTGTAGCTACTCATCGGAAACAACAACCAAGTTTGTCCATGAAGCGTAACGTATTTCGCAGCGTTGTTTGTAGGGCTTGGGATACAAACACTTCAGAATTATTTTAAGCTGATGAGGACGGTTCAAAGAAATTATAAATTTTGGGTTTTCTGAAACAAATATATAACTAAGTGACATGTAAATCCGAACACCCAGTTTAAATGTTTTTATTTTAATAAAATTTCAGCAACTTATGGTTTGGGGTGCTATAGCTTATCGTTCCAGGTCACCTTTAATCTTCATCAGAAGTAACATGAACGCGCAGCGTTATATCCACGAAGTTCTAGAACCCCATCTTTTACCCTATCTTGACCCCTGGCAGATCCAACTTTCCAACAAGATAATGCCCGACCACATGTTGCAAGAGTCACAATAGACTTCTTTCAACATAATGATGTCACATTGTTACCACGGCCACCAAGATCTCCCGACTTATCCCCAATTGAGCACGTGTGGGATATGATGGGTAGGAGATTGCTCAATTTGCAACGTCCTCCTCAGACTCTAGAAGCACTTCGAGAGGAGTTGGTGGTTGCCTGGAATGAGATACCACAGGAGGACATTGACCACCTGCTCAGAAGCATGCCTAGGCGCGTTGGAGAATGCGTAGCACATCAGGGTGCATCCACACATTATTAAAGGTCAAAGGGCTTTAAATCAGTGCAATCATTTTGAAATTTTTTTATCATTTACTCATTATGCTTCATTAAGTACTTATACAAAATTTTATTAAAATAAAACCATTTAAACTGGGTGTTCGGATTTATATGTCACTTAGTATAATAATAATGCAGGAAAGAAATTACTTTCAATCAATATAAATAGAAATACATGTGATTTAGAGAGGTTTTAGTCTAACAAGAACAACGAATAGTTGAGCTTTCCGTTACGTTATTTTTGACAGCGACGGCAAATGGGGATGTTTGGAAAGAGAGTTTTCCTTACCACTAAAGTGAACCGTGGTAATTTGGCAGTACTGACTACTGACAGTCATGACAGGTTGCTTATCTTTTTTCGGTTTTGACGGAAAGATAACCCCAAGCCTTTAAGGTCCTGTTAAATCTTAATGGAAACGTTTCATAATATTTGTGTCTAACCCAGACAAGAAATGAAGAGGTTTAGAGAACATAACTTTCAATAAACGGGTTAGTTCAGAACAAAAGCCAAAAAATGCAGAAACATGGAACAATTGTAAAATGAACCGGAGCATGGACTGCGGGAATATTTTTTTTGCGCATGCGGGTTCAGTACGGGTCATGTTCCATAGTGGAACAAACCTGATATTTCCAAAATTAAAAAAATATATAAGAAATAAAATCAAATAAGTGCTAAAGGAGTGTTTTTCAGAAACCGGATAAGATGTTTATTATTACATATTTACATTTTATCCATTGAAATGCTGACGCTCCGTCTAAGCCAGAAAATTGATGTTAGAAGAGATGGACTAGAAAAATATAACGTGTAAATTGAAAGCAACTTCATTGCAAGGGGTCACGGTCATATACGGCGTTTAATATATCAAACATTTCTGTTTAAAAAATACAAAACATTTTTTCATTGTAGTGTAGCTAGTAACCTCATGAAATATTTTTGATGAGTTGAGAATTTATACGTATGGAAAATTTTAAAATCTAGGATGCGTGGGAAATGCTATTGCACCCTTTTTCTAAGCTCCGTTGTCTATGATAACTTGACAGTGGTTTGATTAAATTTAGGGGCTTGGTGAAACAGCATTATAAATAAATATCTCACAGTACACATCACTGTGTTTTTAAAATTTCATAAATATCTGTAACGCCGTTTCTAAGGTTATGCTTGGTAACAAAAATGGTTAAACGAGGACAGAATTGTACATGTGGTATTTATCTATGACCGAAACGTCAAAAAGTCTCTTTCATACATCTGTGACTTTTATTTAATGCCAAGGAAACAGAAAAGAATTGCGATATTTCATTTGACAAAGATGTTTTCGAATTTCTTGATTTTACATTTCAAATTATTTTGATACTTATTAAACAAGGTATTTCTCCTTCAGATTAATAAGATGGTGCTTCAATAACTTCAGTACAACATTTCGGTTAATGGAAACCATTATCAACGTTGCAGTGGATTCATAAAAAGCTAGTTATGTACTTTGGCTCATTCTATACAATATAATTATTATATTGCATCATCTTGGCGTTACCTTGTGTCCTTCTATTACCGTTGTTAGAAAACTTATCTCATACATACATGCAACCTGATACGTCCTCCATGCTTCTTAAGAATTAGCTTATGTGTGTATTCCTATTATACGAGTTTATAAAAACCGTTGTACCTTTTGTTTGGCAATCAGATAGCTATCAACTATTGTAGTGGTAGTTAGATTCATCAGAGAGAAATAAAACTTATTTTTTAAAAGCCCTCGGTCGCCCCTGGCAAACATAATTACCTATTATCTAGTACCAGTTTAAATTGATATGTGCTGAATAAAATATGGCAACCACAGGAACTGTCCTTATTTTTATTCGTTTATAGGCACAACTAACGGTAATACCTACGGTCAATTTACTTGTAAGTGTACTGACAAGTTGCTCAAAGTTCTTATTTTAAGCTGGTCGTGAATTTTTTTTTCATTTTTCGGACATATTAACGGTTTATGTGCTTCGACCCGTTAAAACCCGCGACGCTTTGCACCTTGGACTCGAATTTCACCCCGCAAGCCATGACGCCCTAAATTTATAAATACCTATTATGGATTCTCGCTTTCGGTTGTGTCCTGTATAGCAGAAGATGGTTTAGGAACCAATAATCCAGCACCTTCATCTTTCTCAAACATCTTGGGAGGACCGTATATTACCGTATTGTGCGCAGTTGCCTTATATGGGTTAACCCAAGCTCAAATGCTTGATCTTCCCTAATAACAATCAGTTCGGGAAAATTCGAGCCAAATGAACTTGTGAAAGATAAACGAGCACAGTGCAAGAATAAAGTGACATCAGAGCCCGGGCGCTCTTTAATTTACAAAACGAATTAAAAGTGGAGCAGAGCTGGAGAGCTGGCGCTATGTGGAGAGAGTAGCCCAAGTTTCCAGACCTAATGGCTTTAGTTAACCAACTATGTTGCATTTTATTAACAAAGTTTTATCAATCGAACTAATCGAATGCAAATACATTCGCGAGAAAACCAGCTAAGTTCCTGGAAAGTTACCGCAGAACAACCAGTGAGAAGTCGTCAGAGAGGCGGCGAAAAGGAGGCAGCGTGTACGTTATACGAGGATGGGATGAATTGAATTGGAACTGTGACTATTCGATTGTCAATTGACGATACCGTCATGACGTCTTTTTGCTTTTTCCGAAGGATCCCGGTAAAAACCATTTATGAGGAATGGGGTTCGGCTGTTTATTCAAAAGTTAGTATATCGTGGATCTTCACACATAGAACAAGTGTCCATGGACCCAAACATTTCCCACGTAACTTCCGAGTCCGCATACCCTGTGTATTGTGGGATCGGCACAAAATATGTAACAGTTGTTATTTTTACGTTCTTTTCGTCATCCCTACACGCCGGTGCGCAAATATTGTAATCCTATAACACAGGAGTTCCCAACCAGGGGGGCGCGCTTCCCAGGGGGGGCATAGAGAGATGTCAAGGGGGGCGGAAAACGTATGCATTTTAGAAAGAAAAAACAAAAAAATAACATTAACAAATAGCATTACAATGTAATGTTTAATTTACATGCATGGAATTAGAAATTAAATATCATATTCACTTATTCTGCCAACCACTGTTTCAAAACCCGACGTCGTCAATCACAGTTTATACAAGTTTCGACAAGTCACAACATGGAATCCACGCGAACCACCGCCGCGCTCCGCTTAACATTCATCACTTAGAAGACAATTGTGTACCTAACAGGCGCGGATGAGCATCTGTGACATTCATTCCCACAAACGAAAAATTTGACATTTCGATGTACATGTTTTATTGAGAAGACTGTTTCAGTGTGTCAAATTATTGTGTCTCACTGTTGAAAGGTAAGTTTGTGTATTTACAAACTTACAGTTGCCATTTTTATTTAATTTACTAAATTGTTGATTGAGTGGAGACGCATTCATAGATCGGCCATTGGGACTTTTTTACCACATCACAATCAAACCAACGTGGCGAAATAATTTTGAAACGACGAGCTTTAAGTACCTAATATTGATTCCAAATGTAATTAAAATTACTATTATAACGTCAACCTGCCTACAAAAATATAAATCTCCCGGTGTCCAATATACCATTGAATACATTACGTTATTAAGATAAAATAATGAGCATATAATTAGTAATTACCTACATGTAGATAATTTGCTTATTTATTACTTATTTGTTTTATTGTTATAGGTGCAAAATGACAGCGAAAAAAAGAAATTTTTCCGAAGATTACGTCGAGTTTGGATTCACCTTCGTAGAAAAAGACAAGTTACAATTGCCTCAGTGTGTGATATGTATGAAAGTTTTGAGTAATGCTAGCATGAGGCCCAATCGCACTGAAAGGCATTTGAAGCAACGACATCCTACTCTGGTTTTGAAGAAGAAAGACTTTTTTCTTCTAAAGCAGAATTACTCAAGCGGATGAGACTGGATAAATCGGGAAGTTATCACACAGGTGTATCGCAGCATCTCAAAGCTTCATTTGAAATAGCTTTTATGAAAGCAAAGCCACGCAGATGATTTTAGGAGAAGAAGCAGATCAAAAAATGAAGTCTATTTCTCTTTCGAATAACACAGTCAAGCGTAGAATCGATGACATTGCAGCAGACAAATAACTAACAACGTAAAATTAACGCCATTTTTTGCCATTATTTCGTTAATTGTGCACACTTAATAGTTTATGTTCGATACGTCGGCGGAGATATCATTCAAGAAGAGATTTTGTACTCCCAATCTTTGACAGCAGGTACTAGATCTGAAGATATATTTAATTCAATATCAAATTTTGTTGAAAAAAATTATTTGGTTTGGAAGAAACTCACCTGCAATGATAGGTGTACGATCGGGCGTAGCTAAAAAGCTCAAGGGAAAAATCCCGCAATGGTTAGTACACATTGTGTTATTCATCGGCAAGCTTTGGCGTCCAAAATATTGCTACAGAAATTACCCCAGACTTTGGACTCGGCTATAAGGATTGTAAACTACATCGCTGGCTGTCCAAAGACAACATGTTGGCTCGCCTTTACGAATTGAATTAAGAGGTAATTCTTTTTCTTGAGTTCAACGAAAAACACGATTTCTTGATAATGTTCAAAGATGACACATTTCAATGGAGGTTGGATTGTTTAACTGACATATTTGACTCCTTGAATGAGCTAAACATGAAACTTCAGGGCAGAAACAACACTATAATAAGAAATTATAGTTACATTCAGGTGTTGATATCAAAGCTTTAACTTTGGAATCAAAAAGTGTCTTCTGAAAATGTTATATCTTTTTCTCGGCTGTTCGAAGCAATTAAAAATAACATACTGGACGCAAATTTAAAAGCTGACATAAAAACTCATTTGCAAGTTCTGGAAGACGAATGTCGCCGATACTATCGAGACATCAATTCAGAGTCACCAATATGGCACATTACAAGAAATCCATTTGTTGTCGATATGTCACATTAATTAGAAGAAGTTCAGGAAGAATTTCTAGAAATAAAGGCTGATTCGTCCATGAAAGATGACTTCCATCTTTTAACATTGGGGAAATTTTGGATCAAACGATTGCCTGTTAATTCGACACTTGCCTCTCTTGCTTTACGAATACTAGTTCCTTTTTCTTCAACTTACGTATATGAGACAGGCTTTTCTGCTCTAGTTTTAATTAAAACTAAAGAGCGAAATCGTCTTAATGTCGATAGCGACATGATGATAGTTCTCGAGTGTCTTATTAGTACCTACTCTTATTTTATTCAAGTTTTTCGATAAAAAAACATTTATTAGTTTGAGGGAGCATGAAAATATAATTTATAGACCGGGGAGCCTCAACAAAAAAAAGGTTGGGAAGCCCTGCTATAACATGTACTGGGTGGCCCAAACTTGCATAGACCGAGTATTGCTCCGATATAGTTTTTCAAAAACTGTTCAGAACAGACTTGCATCATCCTTGTGATAACACATTTCTAAAATATTCAGGATTATACATGGTCTCCTACTACTGGAGTGAATATCACATTTGTTTTATTTATAAATATTCTTACTTTTCATGACATATTTGGATAAACTTTTGCGTTTGGTCCGGTTTTTTTTTTGAGTCATACATTTGTCTAAAATAAATGAAAGTATGTCATGTCACATCTCAATCTCTTTAAAATAGATAGAGTAAAAAAGTTGTATTTTCAAATGCATTCTAAATGTGACAATACACAGTGCGTCCCATTTTAATGTTTTAAGTAACAATGAATTATGTCCTACTGTTAACTCTGTACAATAACTGACAACAAATTAACCCGAACAATTCAAAGAATCGGAAAGCTAGGTGGCAACTGAATACGATAGTTTCTTAAAATTTCATATTGTTTATCAAACCGACGGAGGCACTGGTTGCCATACTTTCATTTTTTAGACAAAATACACAGTTATTATCTCAGCAACTACTAGACAATACTCAAAATTATGTAGGTTACAGGATTAATTATCGAACAAAAAAATGGCGACAAGTATGTTGACTCTATACTCCCACGCCTTAGTTCAATTTCGCAAATTTCAGAATGGAGCTTGATTTGGTATGTTCACTTAAGTACGTTCTATCGTAAGCGTCTCCATAACAAATTATCATAAAATAAATCTATTTCTATTTCAGTGGTAACTCTATGGAAAATACGTGAGATATAAGCGCCTTCTTGATAACCATCATCTTTCACTGTTATCAGAAATTCAACATTCACAACCGTTTACCCTGTATACCTCCTAGCCATCCATAAGATTTCTGGGAGGGATCTCTGCAACGTCGATGATTCAGGGTCAGCGATTATGTTTTTTCCGTAGCTTCACCGCCACTGAATCAAATTTCAAAACCTACAAAGCTTTTTTCATCAAAGGGGTACTTGCCGAGTTATAGAGGGGACTAAGGTTTAGGAAACAGACATCAGACAGGCAGACTGTAGTTACCCTCTCTACTACAGTTATATACTACTCCAAGTCTATTTGCTTGACCCCATAAATGACGTTATGTTTCGCAATTTCGGAAACATTCGATTTCAGTTAACACACTTTGTTGCTTAAAAATATCTGAATGACACACACCGATGTTATTCAGTTCCGTTCCTTTGTCACTCTAGGTTGGTCTGTTGGCTTTTTGTAACCATGTAGTGTCAAAAGCCCCTACAGCGATCTTGACGAATAGTATACAATAAGCTAATTTTACTTTATTGGCGGAGGAGTAATGAGCAAAGAACGCATCGACATCAAACCGTTTAAAAACTTCATTTTCGCATGTTTCTGAGCTTCTGACACTATTTTCACCATTTTACAAGTTCATGATTGCTTAGTAATTTGAACCATGGACTTGTATGTAACAGGGATTTTCAAAAATGCATAGCCATATTACAATGCATCTTCCGGAAACGTTTTTAAAAGTTAGTATGTATACAGTTGTTAGTCAACCTACCTGACGACTTGTCGCGATTACTCTCGTAAGAGTTGTGTCTCTGGTATAACACAAATCATATGTTCGGTAAAATGAGTTCATTCGTGGATCATCAAATTAAGAAAAAGATATGGAAGGTGTAAAACCCGTCAAATTATCATCCACAAAATCGTATATTTGCATGATCAAACGAACTTACCAGTAAGTGATGTTCGATCTTAATTATGAGAAGTCGTCGTCGAAGTAAATATTTAGAATACATATCGTAGTACCCTCGTAGTAGTACCCAACTCCCACGATTTCAAAGCGCGTACGAGTTCAGTATTGAGTCATTATCCCAAACATATTCATTCGTCCTTAGTGTGGACTATCACAAGCTAGTTCCATGTTGCTATCCCAAGCAACCTAGTCCAATGTTACAACGTTATCCCAAATGTCTTCGTTCATCCTTGGTTTGGAGCTGACTATCCCAAGCCAGGTCCACTTTGCTATCCCAAGCAACCAAGTGTAATGTTTCAGCGTTATACCAAACGACTTTGTTCTTCCTTGGTATGGAGTTGGCTATCACAAGCTAGGTCCACGTTGCTATCCCAAGCAACCGAGTTCAATATTTCAGCGTTATCCCAAACGTCTTTGTTCGTCCTAGGTATGGAGTTGGCTATCACAAGCTAGGTCCAGGTTGCTATCGCAAGCAACAGTGTCATAACGTTATCCCAAACGTCATGTTTGGCACAGTTTGTAGAGCCGGTGAGGCATCCAGACTGATATTCATTTAACTTGCACCTAAAACAGATCGGTTAGTCGACAGTTACCTGATGGTGACGCCCCTTCAGAAAAAGAGGCCAGTTTAGCTCCGCGGCAAAAGGAACATTCAGCCGACCGTCACATCTATCGGCCAACCTTCTGTCTTGTTTTCTAATTCTAAATGTTCAGCGATTCCTCGACACTGCTGAAAACGTAAAAATGCGCGACGATCGCGGTGTTAACAGTTTGCCACGAGAACAAGGAATGAATGTTTATAGGCAGCCAGAGGGGAGGAAGGTGGGGGAAGGGGCGCGGTGCCGCTTTTCCTTCGCTGCGTGCGCGTTTTGAAATCGTGGGGGTTGGGTACTACTACGAGGGTACTACGATATGTATTCTAAATATTTACGACGAGCACTATCGACGCCGTCTCGGAATATTGTGTTTTATAAGATTTCTATTGTTTGTGGATTATTTGTTCATGTTTGTTTGTTTTTTATATTTTAAATTCTGTATTCATTTTGACAAGTTCAATACATTGCATGTGTCGGAAAGAACAATAAACTATTACTATTATAAGTCTGCACACATATACCAGAGTACCTAGAAGTGATTTGTAAATATTTATCAACTCTTTTTTCTGAGAAGTAACTTTTTCACTATTTCAGAATGTGTTGAAGTGTGGCGGAAAATAGTTTACATCCTTGGGAATCCAAATGAGGCAATTATTTGAATCGACACCTCCGAGAATGGTGAGTATTAGCGATAGTGATCTATTTAGATTACAGAATGGAAGGCATCTGCCAAACACTGGCGTAATCAGACGTATGCATAACAAAACTTTCAAAACAAGTACCTATACAAAATTTTGTAAATTATATGTGTCCTTACTTAGTAGTAAATAGTACTCAAAATGTGTTGAACACATTTCAGAATAAATCAGTGAAGTCGCAACGCGTTTCACTTTTATTTTGAAAGCCTTGTCAGACTCACTGGAAGCAAATCGATTTGTTTAAAGATTGAGTATAATTCATATTTCTTGCTTTCCTGAACAAAAGTTCTCATGGGACCAAAGCAATCCTATGATTAGTTTCTGAGAAAAAGGAGAAGCTTACCCGGTTTGCAAAAATGGTGAATATTACAGTTCTTAGACCAAAATACTCGGAGAATTGTTATACTGAAGAAAAGATTTTATTTAAAAACTTTCTAGTTAGGTATTGGAAGATGTCATGTTGACCTTGGCGATGATCCTTACAAGATCAATTTGAGGAGAAAATGTATTTTTGTACGTTGACACTGTAATGGATCTAGCACGATTTGTTCGAGATTTCAAAAAAATTAACTGAAGAAGACAGTTCGCTTCACAAGGGCACAAAGAAATCGTGACTCTTTAGTTGTCTTTGATTATGATCTTTACAAGGTGAGTTGAAGATTATGCTGATTTTGAAGTCGAAAGAGATAGAAAAGGCTTACTAATGTTGGCGTAACTTAAGAGTAATTTATTGATTAGTTTGAGTTTCTTTGTTTTGGTCTGCTTCCGGCAAATCGAACCGTTTGGCTCAACTTTTTGAAGGATAAGGAACTTCAATCTCATAAAGAGCATATCAAAAAAACATACGTGTCTGGGTTTGGGCGGCAGTTTTACATCTTCAGTGAAGCCCATTAAGTATTGCATGATAATCAGGTAACTCCTCGGTACTTTGACAAGCTTGCCGATAAGATTTCCAGAGTCGATACTTTATTGGGTTCCTAAAACATGAGTGAACTGGTTACGTGGATACCTTCTACTCCTAGCTACAATGCAGCTTGAGCACCTCCCATGAATAAAAATAAGAGGATGATCTCTATTAATAAAAACACCAGCTATTTTATGAATGTCTCCTGAATTCGGTACACGCTGTGCTGGAATGGTTTTCTCCAACAATTTAAAAATCTATTTATTTTATGTGCTCATTTGCCAGTTTTACAAATCGGCAGACTTCGAGTCCCTATTTCTCAGAAACGAATCAAAGGATTGCCTTTATTCAGGAAGACAAGTAACATATCATAGTGAATTTATAGACTGGGGCCCGTTTTCCATATGCTTTGTGCAGGGTCCTTTGTTATACATGTACTGTGTATCAAGAAACATTTTTAACGTGCGGATTTTTTTTTTCATTTTCGGAATTATTTTTAATGTGCGGATTTTTTTTTTCATTTTCGGAATTTCCCCTGCCTATTTTGGCAGAGATTCATGGTATATCACTGGTGTAGGTTAGGTTAGTTGTGAGTACATCAATAACGGACCTCCACTGCGACTCTTTGGTCTATTGTGGCTCACACCTATTTATATTTCACCCAATAGCTCCGACCTCCTGAGGAAGTCGATTAACTTGTTTGGAGAGCAGGTCTTCTGCTTGGAGTACTACGTATCTAAGTATGTTGTACCTGATCCTGGCAATTGCAGGACATCTGCACAATACATGTCTGACCGTTTCATCTCCCTCCATGCACAGTCTGCACTCAGCGTCTTCCCCCATGCCCAGCCTGCTCATGTGGTGACGCAATTTGCAATAACCAGTGTACAGTCCTACTAGAGCTTTGAGGCTATTCCTGTTCA